GAATGGTGAAGTAAAGAGGGGAAAGGGTGATAGCTCCCACCACGGGTCCAAGGCGTCCCTGTGGTCCCAGGTCCAGGCAGCATCCCGTTGGTCCTGCTGATTGTCATGCTCCTCAGTGGGGAAACCTTCCCTCTTTGGTTGCTATGAAGCCATCTTTTATGCTGGGTGATGCCCCTTGCTCTTCTCCTGTCCCATGGCCTCCTGCCAATCTCCACCTTCCTCCTGCCAATCTTTGCCATCTCAAGTGAGGCTCCCACGCATGCCCAGGGAGGAGTGTCCAAGGTGTGGTCAGCCTTAGGGCTTTTGGCCAGGAGGTGTGTTTTCATATCCTAATAATATTATAATGAGCAAAGTTCACCCAAAGTTCATGTTTTCTTCATCATTGCTGGGAGAGCAGCAGTGATCAATCTTCCTGGGCAGCAGCTCTGTGGTTTGTCCTGGCAGCTCTGACTGCCCTGGGTCTGGGGACCAGCACAGCACACCTCGTACCACACCACTCTCCATCCTGGGGCTCTGCACCTCTGTGTCCACAGGAACCACTTTCCATCCCAGGGATCACCAGCTGCCTCCTGTAGGCTGCTGCAGACTCCTGTCAAGACATTAGCCTGAGTTTCAGGGCACCTGATTGTCCAAGTTCCTCATGATGAGGGTGAGACAATATTCCTCTTCTGCCCAACTCTCACACCCTTGGAGCATCCCTCCCCTGGGGTTTGGCTGTGAGCACCGTGCCCAGCACTGCCTGATCTCTGCTCTTAGCCACTCCTGGCTGGGGTGGTGGGTCCCTTGGTGCCTCCCTGCCAGCATGTGGGGCTGCCCCTCAGGTGACATCCCAAACTGGTGTGCTTCTTGGAGTAGAGGCTAATGAAGAGGGGAGAGTCTTGGGGGAGGGTGTTGGTTTTTTGAGCAAGCAGCTTTCTTCTTTTCTGTTACTTCTATCCCTTCCTCTCCCTCCAAAGGAGGAGAAATAGCTTAGCTGGCAAAAAAGGGATGAGACAAAGGAACATAGGAAAAAAGACAGTGGAAGGAATGCTTTAATTGAGAAGGAGAGGGGGGCAGGGGGAGAGCTAAGAAACAGATGTGGCTGGCTTTACTTCAAGGCAGTTTCATGCATTTCAAGTTCTTGGCCACTAGCTAAAATGATGGTGGTTAATTGCCTTTAAATAGAGTGGAGAAACCCAGCCCTAACCCTCCTCTTTCTACCCAGCTCAAGTAGTTTTCCTGTCTGAGTGGGGAAGAAGCTGCCGGTGTCTCAGGATTTCAGATTTATGACTACAGTTTCTTTTTAATCTTCAATTATTGAGCAACTGCTTTAAGCACATGAATTTTACAGAGGTAAGCACGAGTTCTATGCAGATTTCTCAAATTCTAATATCTGCTTTTTTCCCTCCTGCAGACATAGGGCTGGGCAGTGACTCTGTATGTGCACGTCCCTCATCCCATCGGATAAAGTCTTTCGATTCTCTGGGATCCCAATCTTTACACAGTAGATCTTCAAAACTCTTTCAGGGACAGTATCGGAGTTTGGTAAGTTCTAGAAGCAGTGAAACATGCTGCAGTGTGGGGTTTTTGGGGGTGTTTTAACCAATAGTGTAGCAAAATAACTGTTGCCTCTTTAACCTCTGTATTTCCAGCCTGTGATGTTCTATTTTTGCAGCTTTTCTTGAGATATTCCACAGATTTCTGTGAACTGATATTTTTTCCTGGCTTACCACTCCATGTTGTCTGCATGCACAGGATTTTCCTGGATTTATTTCTCACTTTTCAGTGTAAGGACTTGCATTTCCAAAGGCAAAAATCTCATTTTCTCCATGTCTCTGAGTTTAGGGATGATGATTGAAGGCTATTCAAGCTTCAGCAAAGGCAGTATTTTTAATGTTGGTAGTTACTCCTGTTTTGTGTTACATTTCAAGGTGAATCCTTCAGGTGACTGAGTGGTGTGGGCAGTTGTTTAACAGTACAGCTGAAATCAGGATGGATTACTCTATTGCAGCTAATTGTGATGAAAGGTGCTTTGAGTGACTAAAAGATTTGTAAGGATGGTTCAGATCCCTACTCTAACCTGATTTTTCCATGCTTGAAGGAGGCTGTTCTGAACTATGTGGAGATTGCTACATGAAACAGTGCTCTGCTTGAGATTTCTTAGGGGTGGTTTGATGTCTGTTCTCTGGTAGCAGAGCCCGTGCAAGTCCTTGCCCTAGGCCACTAATTCCAGCTCCTACTCTGCTGTTCACAAGCCACTCAGTTTTGCTGATGACACTTTGTGGGTCTTGCTGTGGGCTGGATGACTGAAGTAATCAGTTTTATATCTTTATATCACTTTGGTGATCTGAGCAGCTCTGCAGAAGTTGCAGAGAGGTGCAAGGAGGAGGGAAACAGAGCTAGTGGCCAAACCCTGGAAATTCTTGGTCTGGTTTTGCTGCTGTAGATGATCAGTTTGGAACTGTTCTCACCAAATTTGTACTCGGTTTCCTCTACTGGAGAGCCATCCTGGCAGAGTCAGGGGACTGTAGTTGATGTTGCTGTGCAGTGTCACTGCTTATTTTGTGGCTGTTTACTGAGGCAAAACGTTGTCTCCTGTTGAGTGGTCATAGCAGATGAAAGCACATCATGTACAAGCAGGGGACTAAGGCAGAGGCACTTGTTTGGAAATGTGCTGATCTGGTTGTTGAACATTGTCATCTTGGGGCTTTCTGCATGTTTTTAAAGCTGTTTGCTCTCATTTTCTTACAGTTTCTCAGCCCCTAAAATTCTAGTTGTTAAATTGAGTTGTGATACAATAACATGATGGGTATGAATTAAGCTGATGTGATAAGGTCCCAGTGACATTATGCAGGACATCTTTTTTAATCCACCTAATTAGACAACATGTAGGTGAAATTCTGCTGCTTGGACAGATGACTAGGGCTGCTTACAGTCATTTTCTCACTAAGTTAATTTTTTAGTGATCCATGTATTGATCCTTCTGATAGAGACAGAATTTGTGGTCCTGTTCTTTCAGATCCAGCACAACGGGTTATATTTGGATTATTTAAAGGAGTTCCAAGTATTCAGGATTTTTTAGCATAAAAGTTTTAGCATAAAAGATTTTTTTAGCATAAAAACTGCATAACTGTGTTGTAGGTTTTTTGGAAGAACTCTGTCCTTCTCCATCAGCAAGCCTTGGAGAGTTGCACTCTTGTGTGTGGAACTTTCCAGCCTCATTTTCTCACTAAGTTAATTTTTTAGTGATCCATGTATTGATCCTTCTGATAGAGACAGAATTTGTGGTCCTGTTCTTTCAGATCCAGCACAACGGGTTATATTTGGATTATTTAAAGGAGTTCCAAGCATTCAGAATTTTTTAGCATAAAAGTTTTAGCATAAAAGATTTTTTTAGCATAAAAACTGCATAACTTTGTTGTAGATTTTTTTTGGAAGAACTCTGTCCTTCTCCATCAGCAAGCCTTGGAGAGTTGCACTCTTGTGTGTGGAACTTTCCAGCCTGAGCTGTTACTAGGGGGGAAAGAAGGGTTTTAAACTGCAAATTCTTTTTTTAGATCTGGAACTAAATTAAACCCAGCTCAATTCCACCCTCCTCCAAGCCCAAAAAGTTTGAGGATAAAACTAATGTAAAGCTGTTGTTGGCAAAGGCAGTTTCAATTTATGTTATAAATAGAAAATAGAGTTGGATTCTTTGGGGGAGTCAGGATTAGTCTCATTTTGGCTCTGTTTACCCCCTTTTGATTTGAAGAGGCTGTATGAAGACAATATGCTCCCTGGACTGATAGAAATCCATAGATTGACAAAGACAAATACTCAAAAGGGTAAATCATCCCTTGGAAATGCTTAGATTAAAAATTCATGGAGAGGATTGTGTGGAGGGGAGGATGTTTCCATTTTATGGGTATTTGGGGTTTGTTCATGGAATAATTGTTCCTCTGTAACATGTTTTTTTTTATCCTTTGTGTTCTGACTTGCTAGGACATGACAGATAACAGCAACCATCAGTTGGTGGTGAGAGCAAAATTTAATTTTCAACAGACCAATGAAGATGAACTTTCTTTTTCAAAAGGAGATATCATTCATGTTACACGAGTGGAAGAAGGAGGCTGGTGGGAAGGAACTCTGAATGGCAAAACAGGCTGGTTTCCAAGCAACTATGTAAGAGAAATAAAATCCAATGGTGAGTTCTGAAGGGGGAGTGTGTTGGCACAGATCCCTGTGTTGGGCAGAGGTTGGCTGATTCATCAGAACTTGTCATGCCTTTTTTTTTTTATGCTTGATTGTATTTACTGAACTTCATTCATAGCCATCATTAATGCTCAGGGACTCCCCCACTGCAGTGAGCTGTATGGGGTGCTCTAGGATTTCTGAGTTAACAGTGAGCATGCAGGAAACTCCACTAGTCTCTCTGCTTCTCTGTCTGTGTCACAGTCCAGCTGCTCCAACTTCCTTGGTCTGAATTCCTGGATTGTTGGATTTTGGCTTCGATGCTGATGTACTTTGAAATGGTGCTTTGGGGTTAAATAGTGAGAGATTACCTGGAGATCCCTTTAAAAACAACAAAACCAGAAAGCAAAGCAAAGCAAACCAAAAATCTCTAAACAAAGCAAACAACTGCAGGATAAATCCCCAGTTGTACCAAAATCTCCTAAAAGTTAGAGACAGTTTTTGAAAAATAATTTGTGCTTTTTCTTCATTGTTCATGTGCCTTCAGCTTTTCTTTATACAGGCTCCACTCTCCCACTGAAGTTTTGGGTTGAACTTCACTCAGGGAAAGTGCCTTCTGTAACTGTCATCTTCAGGAAGGACTCAGAACTAACACTGATTTTTTAATCCACTATGAGGATTAAAGCTCCATTTTTAAACTTCTCCTTTCTCCAGTTGCATCCTCATATTTTCCTCCTTGATTTGCTGTCTACAGTCATGATTTTGCAAAATCCTGGAGTCTTAGATCTGTAACTTGATGATCATTTGCAACTAGATCTTCTTAGGCATAGTCACACTGTGAGATTCAGCTTTAATGTTCTTCAGAGGTATCTCAGATGTGGCTTATCCTGAAAAACAATTCCTGAAGCCTGGGGTTTTTCCTGTCTGTAGTGTTGTAGCAGTCTTTCAGCTGGGATGAATGTCTTGTCCCATTGCTTTTAATTTAAGGACATTGCTCCAAAGGTCTTGTTGGGGTTTCATCTGCTTGGATCTCTTCTGACTTGAGACTGGAACGTGGGTCAGCAGTTAGGCTCCAGTTAGGAAACAGCCTTTAACAGCCAACATAGGAGAACAGAAAGTTGCCAGTGACTGAAATTGAGGTTGTTCCTGGTTTTTTTTTTTTTAAGAACACTTGGGTGAAGTGGCTGTTTTATAACTGAAAAGCCAGCAGGCTGTGGGGCTGAGGTTAGTACCAAGTGCAGTTTGATCATTACAGGTCCATGCAACCTTGTCTGGTTCCTGGGGGCTGAGATGAGTTGCTGCCAGCCCCTGCTTTCACTTCTGCCCCTCAGAGAAGTTCTCCTAAGCTCTTCCTTTCCCTCCTCTGTGTATAGACATGTTTGTTCCCTGTGCTACTTGCTCCTTCTGGCTTCTGCAAGACTTCTTGGAGCACTCTCCATGTGCTCAGTTTCTTCTGTGGCAGGGAACATTTGCCTGTGCTTTTCTCTTTCTCAGGGATTTGAGTTCATGGGTTTTTCTGTGCATTTACTCACTATAACAAAGTTAAAGTGGCTGACCTGTGGCTCTCTAGATTTCTCTGCTCTCCTGCTTTTTAAACACAACTACTCTATTTGACATTTTTCTGGTATTTTATAGAACCTCCCATGTCCTTTATGGTTTCAGAGATGGCTATAACTAGTTCTTGTACTGCCACATCAGCACAGCAGGTACTGTTTAGTTTATCAAAACACTATTTTTAACCTAGTTTTATGCCTTTATAGATGTGTTTGTGTTGTCTGAAGGTGACCTTTTTGTAATGAGGATGAGGAAGGTTGGTAGAAGGAATCATGGCAGACTAAGAGCTGCTTGATGTCTAATTCCTCTCTGCTGAGTTGTAGGTCAGCTTTGCCCCTTCATCTATGTATGTGGAATGTTTTGTTGCTACTACCTTATGTCCACAGCAGTTGTATTTCAGCTGGTTACCTGACTTTTTCTGGTTACTTTTGCTGCTTCTTGTGTGGTTGAAGTCACTGTAGTATTTGTGATGCTTGATCGTGGCAATTTGTGTGGACTTTCCCTGTTTTTCCTTTGAGATGCCCCTAGTTTTTAAAGGACTTATTCTTGTGAGCCTTTTTGCCCTTACATTGTCACTAGTGGGACTCAGTTTTTCACCCATATTTTTAAGTTGGTGTTTTCCCCCCTGTTCTGCTCCCTTCTGTATCACAAGACATTGCCCCTGCAATCTGGACTTGCTTCCTTCTGCTGTCCTTGGTGAAACAACTCTTGTGCAGAGAGCTCTGAGGTGACCTGAATGGTTCTGGTGGATGTTCATGAGAAGTTTCATCAAGGTTATGCATAAGGTTGACAATCTCTGTTGCATTTCTGTGCCCTTGCTCTTTTTTTCCTGTTCTTCATTAGACTGGTTGACATTTCTTTCACTGTCCATTTTTTTTGACTTCCTGGCAACTTTAACATTTTCCTAATTCAGAAATATTTCAAGTGTTGCCTTTATTTCCTGATGTATTGTATAACTAGTAGAACTTGCTGTCTTGCAAGCTCAGATTAAAAATGTGGTTTCTGTCAGGGTTACAATGAATTGATTTTAAAAAGATCAGGGCAGGATTGTTAAAATTCTTGCTCTTGATTAAGGTCTATTCATGAACAAGATGTTCATCCTGGGCATGTAACTGGTTTTCAGAGTACTCTGTAAAATGTTCTGATATTGACAGTATGCTTCCATCCTTTTTTCTATCAAGTGTGGTTGAAAATACTGGAATTAGTTAGAAATTCAGTACAGGCAACACTGTTTATCATTTTTTATGAGATGTTATTTAGGGAGCTCCTGGGAAATGGTGGGTTTGATTAAACAAATCCCTCCAGTCTGCTGGAACCTGACTTTGGCAAACTCTGTAACACCAGAAAAGTTCTATATGCATGTGTGGGTTTGTTTTAATTCTCATGAAATTCATTGGCATTAGATCTTTAGATCAATGGATTTTTGTTCTAAATTAAAAATCCTCTTATGTCAGATAACTGTGTATTTGTCATCTTAGCTTGTACAATTAGTTATTCAAGTTAATTATTCAATGAGGGGAGCTGTCAATGGCTGTAGACAGATGCTGAGATGATGGAGCAGAGCACAGCATTCAGTTTTCTTAAGCTGGAAAATAACTCTGTATTTTGGAGGAAATTGGTTGAGAGGTAAAATGGGATTTATTTTCCTTTGGACTCTGTTTATTATTTCTTCCTCCATAACCCTGATCTTCAAGGAGGGTTTGTCTGAAATTATGGTGCTTCTATCTATCTGTTAAGTTTGAGTGTAAAAAATATATAGTAGTAGTTTCTTTTCAGGTATGTGTCTGCACTAAGGACCAGAAAGAATGTCCATGTCTCTCTCTTCCTCCCTCCCTGTGCACATGTTTTCATTTCCCTTTTTAAACCCTGTAACATCTTGCCTTTTTAATAACCTTCTTTGATCACCAGTCAGGAAGCACTTTGAAATGAGAGGACTTTATTTCCATCCTGCCATACCGTGACACGTGGCAGAGGGTAAAAGATTTATACTGTGTAAACTTGGTAGATACTTCACAGTGTGGCTGTACTGAGTTTGTTGGGTTTATTTTTTGTGTTTTGGGATTTTTTTTTTCCCTTTACATGAAAAGGGGCAGAGAGAGGTGAAGGGTCCTTCACCCAGCCACCAAGGAAAGCCCACTAAGAGTGCCAGTTTTCCTCTCCTGGGGCATGTCCACTTGGAGTATTTTGTTGTCAAGTGTTACTCTGCAGGCACAAACCCAAAAGAGGTTGGGACTTGAGTTCTACCAGGGAAGAAGCAGAAACATTGGTGGACTTCACTGATAGGAACCATGTAGCTTTTGGTGTCCCTGTTGGTGCATCTTTCCTCCTGTCCTGTAGGATGGATTGGTTCAAACTGGGTCCTTGCAGCTAGATGACACCACAGCCCACTAAGAGCAGAAGCAAGTGGTGATGTCCCTGCAGCAGCAGGGTTGAAATGCTTCAGTGAAGCATGTCCTGGAGGAGGCTGTTGCATCAAAATTAGTGTGACAAAGTGGAGACAGGGCAGAAGAGGTAGGAGAGGGTGTGAGGATGGTAAGTAATTTGAAGGCAAATAAAAGAAATACTTGCATGCAAATAAAAATAGAACGAAAGAAAACATTGGGAAGGATTGAGTAAATTGTCCTTTTACAGCCCCAAACAGGTAGATGTTTGTAAAGGTGTTTTAAAGATGTTTTTAACTTCATCTTAGAGAGTTCATGGCATCTTATGTACTACTTAGATAGAGGTTACTTGAAGCAGCTCCTTTAAGTTTTGGTTCTACTGAGAATAATTATTTGCTGGAAGAATAATGTGAAGAATCTGTGCCAGCTTTGCTCTCTACCCAAAGATGATCTGTTCAATAAACTGTTATCTGGTTTATCACTAGCCACTTCAAAGCATTATCAAGTGTAGCTGAGATCTGTTGAATTTAATGCTTTGATCAGGAAAGGAACTGGTAACTTACCTCTTGATTCCAGTCATCAGCTGGCTGCAGTCTCTCCCAGCACTTGAGGAGATGCTTGTTTGCTTTGCATTTGATGGTATATATGGTATGTGTGTGTTGGTGGTATTTTCAGGGTTAATGTAATGGATTTACACTGTGACTAGGAGAAAAGTAGAAGGGGAGAGACTTCTGTCTGGGAAAACTTGGTGTCTGGCTGAGTTTGCTCTCTTCCAAGACTTTGAGAAGACAGCTGATGTGCTGGGGAGGGGGCAAGGTGCCAGGGGTCTGCTGACATTTCAGAGCCCTTTGCACTGGAAGACCTGTGTGTGTTCCCAGTATGCTGAATGGGAGTGACACCTCCTTGAAATGTTCAATACTTCTGCTATAGATTTGCCAAAATACTTTAATCCTCTCTGCTGAAGGAGGATAAATAACACTTATCTTTGTTTATGCTAAGAAAGTAACATCTTACATGCACAATCAGGATTGTCTTTTGTGTAATACGTTGTGCAATGAGCTAATTGGAACAAGACTGTTTCTTATTCCTGCTTTTGAAGCAAGGCACTGCTTGAAGGCAGAATACCAGACATGAAAGACAGCTGGGCTGATTTGCTGTGTCTAATTCTGTGTTTCTACAATAGAAGTGGCTTTTAGAGTTTAAAAGCTGAATGTTAATTATGGCAGTTCGGGCCAGGCAGAATGATTTGTGTGTGATATTGTTTGTGCCCTGTTTTGAATCTGAATTTGATCATCTCTTTGATGGATAACTGAATCAGCTGGTAATAAAAATGTCTACATCAACTCTGTAGAAAATCTCACACTTTCTTAGCAGCTTAGGAGTAAAAAATTAGGGGAAGAGATGCATTTTTACACCCTTTAGAGATAAAAAGTAGCTGGAAGAAGAGTCAAATTTATATGACCAGCCAGCTTTCTCCAGATTAACAAGGATCAGCCATCTGTAATATGATAAAAATCAGTGACAAGTAGCCACCTTTTTCTTTAAATAACTCTGATTTCTTCTTTCATGATTTTTTTTGGCACATGATTAATAAGCCTTTAGGTATTAGGGAACTTGAAAGTCACTATAAATTGTGTGATGAGTCAAAAAGCTTCCCCAGAGAATGAAAGCAAATCACTTGGTTTGTGTAAACCACATGACTCTCAGCATTCAGTACAAAATAAACTGTAATTGGCCCACGAATAAGAAGCATTCTGTACCAATATATAAATGAGGAGCTGTACATCTGACATGGATTTAGGTGACCACAAATCTGCTTGGGTTCTAAGGGGTGGGAGGAGTCTTGTCTCTGGGAATGACTGGGCTTGTACAGCAGAGCACATAGATCACTGCAGGGCTGCTGCCTGAGCATCAGTTGCCCCAGCTGAAAACTGCTGGGGCTGGAGGGTTCTGAGCTCTCAGAGCTGACTTGGGGGGGCAATAGGGGGTATTAACCAAAAGGATTTGACTGCCCTCTCTCAACGTGGTAAGGAGAAATGTTCTTGCCCATGTTTGGCAGTTTTAAGACCATATTTTATTTTTAGAATAGATTCTTTTGAGGGCAGTTCCAGTGTTATACAGAGGAAGTCCCCTGAAACATAGCAGCACTGGTGGGTTTTTGGGGCCTGAGCTGCTCCACACTTTCAGCTGAAGCCTCATTTATTTATTACTTTGATGGACTCTGTTCTCCAGTTTTCTCAAGTGTTGTTATTTTTGTCTTCACTGATAGTAAAAGATAATTAGTTTTAAAAGGTGATTTTCTGGAGTAGGCATCTGGTAAGTCACTCTACTACTTGTGCAGTGTTTTGATTTTCTATTTCAACCAGACTGAGTGTGGTGTCCCACCTCTGGTATATTGATTTAGTTGCACACTTAAAGCAAAAGAGGTATTAAGGCTCTCACTGAGGCTAGAGTTTCATTCACTGTGAACATATGAGCTACTGTGATTCTTTCCCAGTAATTTCAAGCCCAAGTTTGAAGTGAAACACTCTCTTCAGTGTCTGAGGATGAATATTTGAAAGCAGTTTGTTTGACCTCTAGTGTTGAGCTGTGAAATTGCACTCCACTGACCCCACAATCTCTTACCTTTCAGAAAAACCTGTCTCCCCAAAATCAGGGACGTTGAAGAGTCCCCCCAAAGGCTTTGATACGTCTGCAATTAACAAAAGCTATTACAATGTGGTGAGTGATCCTTTTTTTCTCTGCCAGCTGTTGTGTACAGGATGTCATTGAACTAAATGCTTTTATCTCCACAAAAAAATTGGGCAGCCTTGTCAGAGCCCTGGTGCCCAAATGAGCTTTTAGTGAGTTCTCATCTAAACATCCTTATTATTTAATAGAATGATCATACAGATTCCTAAGCATGATGTAAAGTTATAGTCTAAGTGAATCATAGGCATTTATGTAACATCTTATGCTCATTTTATTTGCTAGTTATTAATTGCCTTCTTCTACCCATCCCCAAACACACATTCTTCCCCAGTCTTTATGAATTAGTGAAATTCTGCTGTCTTAAAATGATTTACAATATTTGTCCTTTTTGTTGAACAAGACATTGAACGTTTTGAAATAGTTTGCCTCCTTTGTATCCATGCTCATCAACTCAACTATTAATATTCATGCTTATCAAGTCAATAATTAACATTGGGAACCTCTCTCTGACACCAGTGGATCATTGCAGAGCAAAAGCAGCGTGGCCAGAGTCAGCCTGTACCAGATTAAGGATCCCTGGGGGTGCCTACTCAGACCTCTTCAGAAACACACCAGTCTTTAAAAGTGGTGGTGTGACCATTTTGGGAATCCTTTATTTGCTACCAGCAGATACACCAGGAAGCAAAAAGCATCTTACTGTTTTTGTTCACCACTGCTCCCTGCTGGTGTCAGATCAAACCACAAGGTCTCCCTGAGGTTTTCCACAAGGAAAACCATAATTTTCCTTTTTACTGTTGTTTTTTTACTGTATCTATAGTCTTTTTTTTTTTTCCCCCCCCCCAAAGTTGCTCCAGTGTGCAGTGGCAAATATGTCATCTGTTTTTTTTTTTGGTGTTGAAACCTGTTTGTCATCCAAGAAAACTGAAGTGAGTGCAGAGGAGAGGGTTTAGTTCTTCCACTAGGCAGAAGACTGCCAAGTTCCATCTTTGGTGTTGAAACCTGTTTGTCATCCAAGAAAACTGAAGTGAGTGCAGAGGAGAGGGTTTAGTTCCTCCACTAGGCAGAAGATTGCTCTTATTTCAGTTCCATCTATTTTGATGTTGAATTTTTAATTAAAATAGACTGTTCTCTTGAATACCAGCCCTTTAGATTTAGGGGGGGTTATGTGTTGGTGTGTTTGTTCTTTTTTTTAAGGCAGTGGTAAATACATGCCTCATATTTAATCTTCTGATTTCCCTGCTGAGATCTTAGTAGGATGAAAAGTAAGAGTTGTGGCTGTTTAATTTGGGGCTTCACTAGAAATTCAATTTGACTGCGACCAAAACAAATTGAGTCTTGTGGTTGCATATTTTACTTTGTAAACCAGGCTGGTTTGGGGGATGATAGTGCACTTCAGTGAAAAGAAGAGAAAATAAATGCTTGAATTGGCCTAAACCATAGTTAAGTTTAAGGCCAAACAACTTTGAAATACCACCTTTGACTTGTGTGTTTTTTATCACTGTTCCTGGATAGCCTGTTACCATAATCATGGAGACTCCAGCTGCTATGTACTTTGTGAAACACATAAAACACCCTTCCTCCCCTTTTTTTTTTAATTCAAGCCCACCATTTTATTCTTTAAAGAATGAGAGGCTGTGCTGCAAGTAAAACTTCAAGTAAAACTTCACTGCTGGGCTTAACCTAAATGAGACTAGCTGGCTTCTGGGTTTTCTTGAAAAATACTGAGGGCTTCAATGGCAATAGAAGCATAAAATATTGATTTTTTTATAATTATTAAATAAGTAATGATTTTTTACAGGTAGATAAGACAAACAGCAAACCCATTCACTGAAGTGAAAGCAGTTTAACCTGTGAGTGAAGTTGTTCTGTCTTAATACATAAGCTGCAGACATGAGACTTCCCTGTGTTAAAGTCTTATCAGTCTCTCCTGATAACAAAGATGAGCCCCTACTAAGGTAAAAACAGAACAGCTCCAAATAAACCTCTAGCAACTGAGAGCTGAAAGGATGTAGCTCGAATGAGGAGTGTTAAAACCTGTGTTAAAGGCTCTCTGGATGACCAAGCATGATTTGAGGCTGGTACTTTGGGGGTGCTTGCTGGTTTTAAGTTGTGGCTATCTTCCACCATGTGTGTGCTGAGATCTTGTGACCCTGCTGCTGGTTTATTACTATTTTTCTGGGGGAAGGGTTTGTGCAGGTGCAGGCAACACCTCTGGGTAAATTTGTCAGACTGGGGACAAAATCAAAGGGCAATTCGGAGGAAGCTCAGGAGGTGGTAGGAGAGGCTCAGCTCCTCTCCTGCTGTGGGAGAAGGGCTGGGAGAGGCTAAGGGAAGGGTGATGAATGTAAAGAGCAGACTGCTTTCACTGCTTCCTCTGTTCTTCACCCCCTTGTAAACATGTTCTTCATTTTTGTGGATTCACAGAGCTCAGTTGAAGTCCAGAACACAAATCACAGACCATCTAGTGTCCTTTATTAGCTGCACCTTGCACTGAGTGTTCTTGAGAAGACCCAGCACATTTGCTTGACTCTTAAAATTTGCCTGCTGTGCAAACTTTGTGTCTGAAATAAAATGAGATTATCTCAATTTAGATGACTGTTGCCTTGAGATTAAGTAGCTGTTCTAAAAGCAGGTAAAGAAACAGGCAAATTTCTCCATGGTGTGAGTGTTTGGGTGACCTCATTTTTCATGTGAGTGTTTGAGAAGTGGTAGAGAATAAGCACTCCTGTTGAGGCCACACTTTTGAAGTTGGCTGAAGAGTTTGTGTTTACTAAAGCTCATAAAAGTTTTTGAGGGGCACTTGAGATATGGGTATACTTGTATGGTGCTTCACATTGCCCCTCTCAAGGGCCTGTTTTATGGGGTTCACCTCTCAGAGTCTCAGGAACCAGGAAAATCAGACCTTGATCACCATTTTGCTGAAGTATGTGATATTCCAGTTGAGTGCTATAAAATGGGAATGTGCCCCAGGATCATGGTCAAGCATAGCTGTGAAATCTGCCTTTTCTCCCTCTGGTTTAGAAGGTGATTGGCTCCATGTAGGTCATTTTAAATCCATTTTTGGGTGGTAGTTTGTGCCTAGGGGACACAGCTGAGGTTTTGTGTGACAGAACTGTTAACCATGCTTGAATTTTCCATGCTGTGTGATTGAGGGAGCTGGTGCTGTATGAGCTCAGTTGTCTGTGCCTGCCATTCATCACTGCAAAAGCTGCCACTTCAATGCTGCTCTTATCTGTGCTAATATTGTGGTGGAGTTGTGGAAACAAGGTCCTGGAGGTCTCATGGGGTCTTGCAGCAGCCAGAACGTGCAGAAAGCAGGAAAGGGAAGAAAGGTGATTATTAGAACCCGCGGGCAAGATGTGGATGTGAGGAATTTAAGGGGGCTCTGGTGCCAAAACACTGAGTTGCAATCCTGACTGCTTATCTCTTCAAAGCACAGCCTGAGCATTTAATCCTCAGCTTCTCAGGGAGGGAGGTAAGTTCAGCTGGAAGGATGTGAGATTTCACAGAACTGAGGTTTTAGAGCTATGTAAGCAAGATTATTTTTATTAAAAGGTAGTCAAAGAATGTTGTATGCAATGGAAACTGTACTTGGGGGAAAAAAAAGGAAAGAGATTTAACATGTTTGGGGATTGTTTAAAACTGTATATCTAAAGTATTGTGTAACACTGAACTGCTAGAATAACACAGCAGTGTAAGTGTATCTAGGACTCTGCACAGGTTTTGTAACAGTTTTACTTAGAGTTGGATTTATTTGCCTTTTTCCAGTAATTTATCAGGTTGCTAATTCTAGTTTTTAAGTTAGGGTTTAGTTAGATAGGGTTTTTTTTTCCATTCTTATTTTTTCCTGTCTCTTAAGTCTTTTTCCTCCAGTTTCATATTGTCTGTATAGCAAAGAATATACACAAATAAAGATGCAAACCAGCCCAGTAAAATAATGGAGTGTTGTCCAACATGAAGCTAGTTTTATTTTAAGCTTTTCAGAGGGCTGTTTGTAGCAGAGAATGGAAATACTCTTTGGGAAAGCAGAGCAGTGGTGCTGCCTTTCAAGATGTCCAGCAAATTTATTGATTTTTATCTTTGGCTGTTTTTTAATGCTGGTCAGTGCTTCATCAGGACACTGTGCTTCTGTCCTGGGCTTGCAGTCTCCTTTTCCCTAGTAATGGCTGTGTAAGGACTTTGGGCTGGGAAGGCTTTTGTAGGAAAAGCCATATTGGAAAAGATTGGTCCTGCACTTAGTTTTAAACCTCATGAATCCCAAGTGCTTTTATATTTCCTTTTTAACAATTGACTTTTTAATGGGTGTAAGAGAATATGGGGTTTAATTAGTGCTATGATCAATGATATTTCTTTTTTCCCCTGTGGTGTTAAGTGGTCAAGAACCCCTTAGTTTTTTCACAGTTTGTGTGCCCATGTTAGACTTTAAGCTGTAGTTAGTAGCCTGTGACATTCTTCTGTCATAGTATTTAGCAGAGAATGGAGACATTTTAATCTTCAGTTCAGGATTCAGATTTCCAACAAAAGAATGAACT